GGGATTTCTTCTAATTGGGTACTAGTTGTCTTTCTTTCACCTTTTTCTGTCTCCCAATTCCAAGAGGCTTGCTTGTCAAACTCCATATCTCGACTTGTCACCAACTTCTTAGTCTCGAGATTGTAGATTCTATATCCCTTTGATTTGGAGTTGTAGCCAAGGAAAATGCCCTTCTCTGTCTTGTCTCCTAATTTGTGCCTTTTAACAGAGGGAACATGAATGTAGCATATGCTTCCGAACACCTTCAAATGTTTGGCTGTAGGCTTTTGTGCCAACCATGCCTCAACAAGTGTTTTGTTCAGAACAACCTTAGTTGGACATCAATTGAGTAGGTAGACTGAAGTATACACTGCCTCTGCCTAGAATGTTTTAGGCATTCCTTTTTCAGCTAACATAGACCTTACCATCTCCATAACTGTGCGGTTCTTTCTTTCGGATACCCCATTTTGTTGTGGAGTGTATGTTACTGTTACTTGATGCTCTACACCTTCATTTTCACAGAACTTGTCAAATTCTTTTGAGTTGTATTCGGTACCTCGATCGCTTCTCAACTTCTTGATTTGATGACCACTCTGTTTCTCCACGAAGTTCTTGAATCTCTTGAATATTCTAAAGACTTCGGATTTTTCTTGGAAAAAATACACCCATGTCATCCTTGAGTAATCATTGATGTAGTAATCACAAGGCATTGAGATTGAAGTGCCCAAATCTTCAATGCCATAGACTCGTATCACTCAGTTGGGCCACCATCGCCTTTTTGTGGATATTGCCATTGAATGGGAAAGTCTCTATTATTTCCCATTTTTACTTCAACAATTTCTTGATTATTATTCTTGTCATAAATTCGGCAAGAATTCTTCTCAAAGTGCAAGGTATATCCACTTTCCATCATTTGGCCAACACTTAGTAGATTTTCTTCAAGGCGTGGCACTAGGAGAACGTTTTTAATTAATAAAGCACATACCTTTCTTTGTATCTATGACAATGGTACATTTCCCTTTTGCCTCCACCAATTCGACATTGCCCATCTTGACCTTTGTCTTGATAGAAGTGTCTAACTCATGGAAGATGGTCTCGTTGGATGTCATATGATTGCTGCATCCACTATCGATGTACCACTCTTCTTCTTTTGCTTCTATTGCTGTCTGAAATGCGTAGAACATGTACTCCTTCTCCTTGAAATCTTCAGAATAGTTGGCCTCATAGTTTCTTTTATCTCTACAATCTTTTTCTTTATGCCCGAACCTCTTGCAATTTCTACATTGTGGCTTTCCTCGATGGTAGCAATCTTTCTCTAAGTGATTAGTCTTCTTGCATATTTTGCATGGTGGAAAGTTCGGCTTCCTCTCCTTGTTGTTAGAATTCTCATCTTTATGAGGTTTAAAGTGTTCACCATTTCTCGAGTCATTCTTTTTAATGTTGAGCTTAGACTGGAAGGCACTTTCTAATGAACTTTCATGTCGTCTGTTCAGCCTTTGCTCACGTGCTTCTAGCGACCCCATTAATTCAGTGATGAACATTTTTGATAGATCTTTTGACTCCTCAATAGCTGAAACTACTGGATAATATTTTTCAGGGAGACTGATTAAGACCTTCTGGATTATTCTCTCGTCGGTTATGTTTTCTCCAAGAGTTCTCATTTCGCTGACTATATGTATAACCCGAGAGAAAAAATCTTTTTCCATCTCAGATTCTCTCATCTTTAAATTTTCAAGCTCTCTTCTTAAACTTTGTAATTTACTAGTTCTAACTTTCTCATTTCCTTGAAATTCCTCCGTAAGAATATCCCAAGCTTCTTTTGCCGTAGTAGCACGAATTATTCTCGGGGAAATAGTATCACTACCGGATTGTTGAACAAGATAGAGAGCTCTAGCATTCTGGTGCTTTTGTTTCTTACATACCTCGGAAGTTGATGTGTCATCGCTTCCTTTTTCTGGCACGGTGATTCCTTCTTCAACAATATCCCAAAGATCATGTGATTCGAGACACGTCTTCATACAGACACTCCAATAGTCGTAGCTTTCTCCATTGAACATCGGAGTCGATATCGAGAAGCTTGATGATGTCGCCATAACGCCCACTTATGATCGAACAGGCTCTGATACTACTTGTTAGAAAATAGAAGACGTTGGTTGTATGAGTAGAATAAGTGATTTTAGTGAGGTGTAGTGTAGAGGAGATGTTTTAGAGTAGAGCTCTTGTGTCTAGACAAGTAGTATTGTATTGATGTTGCTTGGTTTGCTTGGTTTTCAAATGAGTACAAAAGGTCCTATTTATAGGTACTAGAGGATCATTCTAGATCCTTATTAAATGCTAGTAATCTAGAATATTCTACCTTTAATTATTCTAGACTCTACTTAAGAATTCTCTAGTAGAGAATTCTCTAGAACATTATTTGTCTTAACTCTCTAGAACATTTCTAGCCTTTTCTACATAGAATATTCTAGATAAATGCATCACTATTTAATAAATCCCTTCAAATTTAGGCAATTTATATGGTACACCCGGGTGTACCTATACACCCGGTATTATTGTAATTAGTTCTAATTTGAATGACTATAACCAGATCATTACTTTTTCTATCTGTATTCTTCCCTACCTGGCTGCGTAGATGCTCTCCTTTCCCAGCCTTCCCCATATTCCGATCCCTTCCTTTTTACCATGTGCGTATTTTCTTTTCCATAATCATTCTTTCTTTTTTTATTAACAACCTTTTCTATTAATTTCTTTTATCCTTTCTCTAATCAACCTTTCTATATAACTTAAGTATTTCTTTAAATTATACATTATAAAATATTCTAGGTATCAATATTTTTTTTCTATTTTAATTTTAAGATGAATATTTAAGATTTTTCTTTCTCAAAAAACTCTATTCTAACCATAAATATGTAATTGTTTCAATATTAAATAATTTAATAAAGTTTGTATGTTAATTATTTTAATATTGTGAGCTCATTATTAACAGGAGTTTTGTGTTATATTGAAATGAGTATAGTGTAAAAAATAAATGTGCATGAGTAAATATTATAAAAAGAATAGGATTAATTTTGTAATTTAAGAATGAAAATTATAAATTATTTTGAAACTTGAATTTATTATATTTCTCATTGTTATATATATTGGGGAAAAGGGTCAGATAGGGCCTCGAACTTACATAAAAAGGTCAAATAAGGCCTAATAAATGAAGCTCTGTTAGGCCATCGCTATTTGGGGCGGTTTTCGGTGGAAAATTTTGATGATTTTTTTAGCATATTACTCATTAAGTCTAGTTCACTCATACCAAATTTCAGCTAAAACTTTAATCGGGAAGGCATTCAAATTAATACTTGAATATAACTGCGCTTTTAACTGCGTAGTTATCTTCAAGAATTATTTTGAATGCCTTCCCGATTGAAGTTTTAGCTGAAATTTGGTATGCGTGAACTAGACTTAATGAATAATATGGTCAAAAAAATTTATCAAACAATTACACCGGAAACCGCCCCAAATGGCGACGGCCGGATAAAGCTTCATTTATAAGGCCTTATTTGACCCTTTTATGTAAGTTCGAGGCCCTATCTGACCTTTTTCCTTATATATTGATAGTTTATTAAATTGTTAATAATGAATCTATTAATAACAAGGCCTTTGAGTTTTGGGATGCTCATTTTGTAAGTTATGTATACTGATTTAGTACTAGTTTTATGTTCATCTGAAAATGTCATATCAATACCGATGAAACTCACGTGAACACATTGGAGCTTGCTGAAATAATTTTAATGCTCAATAATAGAAAACACAATACTCAATAAAGATGTCTTGATGCTCAAATGTATGTGCTTTTGAAATTTTTGTATTTAATTGAAAAGTTTGCTCAATATGCATAGTCTCAATGCTCAATGGTCGCGAATACGATATTGTGATACTTAGAAGATATGAAGCAGAGATCACGATGTTCATTGTCAAGCTTCTAATGCTCAATAAAATATGTCTGATCCTCACTAAAAGTGCATCAATGCCCATTTAACAGAAGACACATATTTCATTTAAATTACCAAAATGAGCACACTAAAGATCTAAAATGAGCATGCAATAATATACTTAAATGTGATCCGGACATCCGAACATATATGTTCACATTTTAATTTTTCAATGCTCATTTATTAAATGTGATCCGGACATCCGGACATATATGTTCACATATTTATTTTTTCAATGCTCATTTCTTAAGTAATGTATGCTCATTTGGTACTGATGTGAGCTCATTTTAAAAATGTTATATTAATGCATATTTATAAACTATTACGTATCATATTACATCAGACTCACATATTGAAATTAATAGGGGTGAATTATAGATATAATTTAATAAGTTTTTGTAAGAGGAAAAATAAGAAAAAGAAATAGAATTAGAAGATATGAAGCAGAGATCGTGATACAATTTTTTTGTAATTTAATAAAAAAATCACGGCTTCTGCTAAATGAGCAATAAAGTATTTTTAGTGAGCATCTGACATGTTTTATTGAGTATTACAAACGTGAGTTTTGTGTTATACTAAAATTCAAAAGCTCGTTTGAATTTCGTAATGTGTTCAAATGTTCATTTGTGCACACATAATGACAAATATAATAATTTATACTCCGTATTAAAAATAATTTGTAGTCGTTCATTCTCGAATTACAAATATAATCGAGTTCTTTTTATATTATTTTACCCATGCATACTATTTTACACCATACTCATATTAGTATAACACAAAATTTACGTAATCATTGTTTGTAATTAACACACAATTTTTAATAAACTAATAAATATTCATCTTAAATTAATAGTAGAGAAATAAAACATTAATAACTAAGATATTTTATAATAGATAAATAAAAAACTTAAGCAGGAAGTTTGATTGGAGAAAGAAAAAATAAACTGAAACATTTAATAATATTTTATATTATACATTTTCATAATAATTGAATATAACAAAAACAAAAAAATGAGAATAAACAAAAAAAAGAAAAGAAAGGAGAATGTACATAACTAGCAAGGATGAGCATCGTTGATAAAAAAACAAGGATGAGCGCACGAGTGGAGCATGGCATGTGACTGAAAAAGGAAGTAAACACTATTCATGTTACTAATTACAAAAAAACAGAGTGTACATGCACTGATGTACATTCACGTGTAAGATATAGGAACTGCTGGAACTCGATGGCTTCTTCAAACGTAAAATTTTAAAGTCCTTTTCCTGCATCATTTTAAAAATAAATAGTGTTGTTCGTTCAACCAAACATATAGTAATATGATGATGATGGTTGATTAGATTTGTTAATTTGATTGAACTACTAGATGGGATAGCCGAACTTCGGTGGTACTGCCAGAAGGGGAAATCTTCTATCTGGTGGCACTTCTCCGGTTCGTCACTGATGGCCCGCCGGTTCAACAGTTGTTGGCCCAGAACCAAGAAATTATCCAGTGCTGCACAAGAAATGGGATCGAATTCAAGTTATACCTTCCTCACTACAACACCGAGGAGGAATGGAGACAACATTTCGGGAGTCAATGGTCAAGGTTCGTCGACAGAAAGCTAACTTTTGATCCAATGGCCATTCTTGCTCCTGGACAAAAAATCTTCACCCGGAGCAAACTACGTACCATAGCTAGCTAGCTAGTGCTCTCTTTACCCGGAGCACACTTCCCCTCCTTTGCTTTGATGTTTTTTTTTTGTATCCCACTTCTTCCCATGTAAAGAAATGTAAAACGGGTTTAAAGAAGATTAACTACTCCGAGGTATTGTTTTTGCTGTTTCTCTTTGCAGATTATATAAATTGAATTTCAACTAATTATTACCTTATGGGCAGGGCAAAGTCGATGAGGGCCAGGATTAGGGGTGCACATATCGTTTTTTCGTTTCCATTTTTATCGGTTTCGGTTCGATTCAGTTTGGAACAGGTTGAGAGAATTAGTACAAAAAAACTATACTATTTTTGTTCGGTTTGGTTTAGTTCGGTTTGGATTTGTTATTTTCTAATAATATACAGAGTATGAAGGTTTTATTGAATTTCTTTAGTTCTGTTTTGTTCAGTTTTTATCGGTTTCAGTTCGGTTCTATTTAATACGGGTCTAAAGAAGTACCACCAAACTCAAACCAAATTGCATATGATTCGGTTTCGGTTTGGTTTAGTTCGGTTTTATACGTTTCAATTCGGTTAAACCAAACCATTATGCCCACCCTTAGCTAGGATAATCAACCGCCCCTTGAAAGATTGAGGATGTATAATACTAAAAAATTGATTTGAAGTATTATGACTCTTACTCTATATGACACATTGCTAATAAAAGGTTATGAGTTCTGCAAAATCAATATAATTTACACTTGAAATTAGTAAAACTTGATGCGCAATACGGGATGTCTATTGAGCATGAATTCTATTCAAGCTAGCTTAATGGTGTGATACTTGAGATTTAATTTAAATGGATTAATAGTACTACTCGTCTACTCATACCAACAGGGTCTGGAGAATGTGTAGGAGTAACTACCTCGTGCCCTACGGGGCGGGTGCTACAAATGCATATATAAAGTGAGAAAGTCTTGAACAATGATAAAAACCTAAAATATACGGAGTAGATCTGAAAATTAATGTGAGGTAGTTAGCGATAGTATAGAATATTACAAGTAAAAAGATTGGTCATTTTAGATTTGAGACAAATGTAGGTAAGTCTGTTTAAAGTACTGTTGGGATATATCATCCCGGCCTATTACTGTTCAGGAGCCCACGACTTTACGTAGTACAGAGCCCAATCAGTAAGGCCCATTTTAGCCTATCAGGTCTGTTTCGGCCTTTGGGCCCATTTCGGTCCGTTCGGCCCACCTAGGCCCAAGAAGCCCGTTTCGGCCCACTCGGCCCGTTAGGGTGGAGCACCCCTCCCCCTTTCCTCTATAAATAGGAGGATTCCCCCCTTCTTAAGGATCCCTTTTTAGATCCTCTTTTAGCTTCTTCTCCCTCCCCCTTTTAGAGTTAGCTTCATATTCCATTAATGGGAGCTTGTACAATGTAATGGTGAGGAGAGTCCTAATGAGAAAGAGAGGGCTTGGACATTAGCCTAAACAGTCCCGTGGTTTTCTCCCTTTCCGGGTTTCCACGTAAAAACCATTGTTTATATTTTATTTTCACCCGATAGCCATGAAACCCTCCCGGAAGGGGTGTTGAACTTCCGGGCTGCGGCGAATTAACCTCAACAAGTATAAAGATGTTAAATTTTACTTGAACGTTTGGTGAATAATGGGTGACGAGAAGGGTGCTGAAAACGTAGAGTGCTAGAGAGAATATTGGACATTCATGTTCCTTAAGAGACCCTGTTGTATGAAAAGACTTGCGTGTTTTGAATGAAAGATGCTCAGAATAACTTGTGTGACTTGTTTTTGAGATTTAGCACAATGTTAACTTGTTGTTGGTCCAAAATAGGACGCTCGTAGGCTTTTAGGAAAGCTACGTACGACACTCAAGCAGGAATTAGGAAAGTACGAATATGGAAAGTTAGCCAGAAATAGCATGTAGAATTTGCTTCCCTAATCTGAATTACAACCCGCCTTTTATAGGCGTATACAAATCGTAACCGCTATCGATAATAATGACTAATTAATTACAACATTAATACGGAATTAAATACATAATTAATAGCGCATTAATTGTTTGACCGTTACTCTTTCGGGCTGGGAGGTCGACCGGACTGGCAGGCTCCCCGCTGAGCTGGCAGGCAGGCTCCAGGTTGTGGACTTGGATCCACGGGTCCAAGTTCGGGGCTTGGGCTGATTAGGCTCTGGGCCTAGTTCCATAACTCCATCACGAGTCCCCCACTCCCTTAGTCGAGTAGTAAACTCGGCTAAGAGGGAGTAATCCAAGTCAGTTGCTCTTCTTCGAGACTAGAAGATCCCCGCTCTTGTCCATGTTGGGGAGATGCCTCATTAAAAACCTTCATTAGAAAAAACCCAATGGGAAAAAATCCTAATGAAGGGAAAAAGAGTACATCTGACGCCCCCAAGATGAAGCAAGAGGTGAGATCCTCAGCCTTTATTGTAATGGTCGCCATCTGCGAATAGGATGGCTAGAACTGTTCTTCTCGTTGAGCTCAGACTCGTCAGGTTCGTCATTTGCTTCCTTGAAGACGGTAAGACCCTCAGTCCCCCACTTCACTCAGTTGTACCTACACATAAAAGAAACTAGTGTAGAATAGAGCATCTGGCCTGGTGTCAAACCACGGCTCAGTATGTAAGCGAGTCGGACTCACTACTTGAAAAGAGTGACATCAAGTTCCCAAGTTAGGCCTCAACCCAGTCTTCGAAAGAAAGATTGAATCCGCGAGTAAGTGAGGCGGACTCCTCACTCGAACGGATAATCCAACCCTAGAGAACTAAAGTATATCAACCTCTTCGAGAAATGTGAACGTCAATTAAGTGACAAAATTGCTCGGAAAAGCGTGGCTCTAGGCCCCTAACAAGAGTTTAACTCGCCACCCGAGGTTAGTAGTTCGAACCCGCAAGTAAAGACTTTTGAACGGATGACTCGTCCCCCGAGGTCGGAGTGTGATGCACTAGGAAGAGGCAAGAGCACACAAGAACCCGTAAGAAATCAAGAGTGTGAGGTATTAACATTTATATTGGAGCTTATTAATCGCCACACCCATATGACATGACCCGGTGGCGCGAGTGTGTGTGCTCGGCCATTGTACGAGTGTGTGTGCTCGTCCGGTGTATGTGAGTGATCGGATTTCATAAGTCCGTTTTTCAATGTTAAAATTACACACGCTCAACAAGAGTTAAAGCAATTACACCACTTAAAATATCTTTTCAAATGTTTTAATTTATGATTTTTTAAAATCATATATTTCCACATACTAATAATATGGAGAAAGCTTTGGAGTACTTAGCTTTGAATTGGGCTGAAGCTTGGGCATGTGGCTGAAATTTGGACCATCAAAGAGTTTGATTGGGCCGCATGTGGCCTGTCCTTCTTAGTCCTGGCATGACCCCTCTTAATAGCCCAACTTGGAACTTCTGCCCTTGTGTAGTTACACGCCTAATCAGCCACTCCCTTATCGACGGAAACCAGAGGAACCGTCAAACCATTTTGGAGGCGAGGAGAGAGGAAAAGGCCGGTCAAGTTGCTGAGTTCATCGTGGCAGCTCGAAGCCTTGATCCCGTCAGAGCACCATCGCAGATTACCGCTACAGCAGGATTCCAGATCCGCCCAACCCACCTTTAATGGCACAACACCTAAGTGTGAGCGGCGAGGTTGGGGAGGGAAGTAGTGAGCGACCGGACAACGAAGATACTGGCGAAGACGACGCTCGGAGAATTCAACGACGACGGAGATCCCCACATTGCTAGCAATGATCGGAAAAGCGGAGGAGTGGGGGAGCTGAGACCTCAGGCGACTTCAATCGACAGATTCCTCACGTTGTGTCAGTGGTACGTTGGAAGGGTGAGCAGCGGGCGGTTAGGCAAGCGGTGGCTGCCGTCGTGAAGCTACGGGTCACCAGATTCTTCTGTTCTTACCTCCTCTCCAGATATGAAAAATTGCTAGAAATCTTTGACCTTTTCTGGATTTTTCTTGTTAATTCTTACCAAAGTGATGAGAGATAAAACTCTCAATGAAAACACCAATGTTGGTCCAAAATAGGACGCTCGTAGGCTTTTAGGAAAGCTACGTACGACACTCAAGCAGGAATTAGGAAAGTACGAATATGGAAAGTTAGCCAGAAATAGCATGTAGAATTTGCTTCCCTAATCTGAATTACAACCCGCCTTTTATAGGCGTATACAAATCGTAACCGCTATCGATAATAATGACTAATTAATTACAACATTAATACGGAATTAAATACATAATTAATAGCGCATTAATTGTTTGACCGTTACTCTTTCGGGCTGGGAGGTCGACCGGACTGGCAGGCTCCCCGCTGAGCTGGCAGGCAGGCTCCAGGTTGTGGACTTGGATCCACGGGTCCAAGTTCGGGGCTTGGGCTGATTAGGCTCTGGGCCTAGTTCCATAACTCCATCACTTGTAATACTCGAGATTAATTTAAATTTAAAATGCTTAATAGTACTACTCATATCAATAAGGTGAATTTCCTATTAAGGTGTCAATCTCCTAAGAATTCCTCGAGTCCTGCAGGCTACGGGGCGGGTGTTACCCCATGGGTCAGGAGAAGTAAAACTTTAAATCTTTCTAAAAGAGGTGGAGTATAATTTAAAATATCTTTGTGATCCACGGGTGAAAATGTAGTGAGTTTGCACAAACTAGCTTGGTTTTTGTCATATAAATATGAAGTAAAATGATCATCTATAAAAAGTTAACTTAACTAATATAAGGGTATTTAATAATGCATATATAGGTCCCTTAAAAAATAGTGTTGTTTTTAGTCGATTTTCCAAATGAAAAAACAGGTGACTTTGATAAGGCACATCCGTACATGACTTCCATTCATGAAACAACATAACCATTCAAATAAGGCTAAACTTTAAACTTCAAAACAGAAGCAAGAAGAAGTAGGAGAATGAGGATCCCAGTTGAAGAGCCACCCACCCTGTGAATCCAGTATGGATCAAACCTGGTAAAGCTTCTGTCGAAGTAGCCAGACAATGCGATGGCAATGGTAAGGCTCGCCAATAGAAAAGGCTGCACAAAGGAAGAAGAAGAAGAGAAAGCGGAACCTGGCTGCTGATCTTCATAAACAGGTTCCTCGTCCTTGTCGATGTAAAGCGGAGAGAGCACTGCGAGAAGTGCGAGTCCTATGGCAGCTGGCTTCTTATAGAAAGACAATCTGATCACGCCACGTCTCACCATCACGCTAGCCGCGGCAGTGATCAAGATGAGAAGCAGTGGTAGGTATAAAGCAGAGATTATGGTTTCATCATCAGCAGCAGCAGCATTTGCTTGGCCTGTCTTTCTATTCCTCTTTCTGTCAATGTAAAGAGGTGAGGCTACTGCAGCAAGGCCAAGTGCTATGGCTAAAAGCCTGTGTTGATTAGTTTGCCTCCTCCCTCCTTCTTCCTGCCTTTTCTCTACCATCTTATTTTATACGAAGTATATAGACACACACACCAACCCACGGTTTCTAATATCCTGACACTTAATTGGCCCGCGGTTGTATATATAATGGGAAGACATCCAAATTAAATGGTATTCTAAAACCAAAAAAACTATGAAACCTTGCGGGTATCAAAGCTTGTTCTAATATATCAATTACATTTTTTTTCTGAAATTGAATAATTTGAGCATACAAAATGATGAAATGATGACATTGATCTATCAAATAATTCATATGTAGGATACCCTGGTTTTTTGCGTGGATATCATGGCATTGACCTTTTAAAAAACATGTGTATATATATGGTTGACTTCAAATGAGAAGACATCTTAACGTGTAAAATAAAAATTAATCTCGCTCGTCCAAATTGTAAATCTGATGCACTTTTGAAAAAATGCACCAGATTAGGTTTATTCGAAATGTGCATCAGATAGGCTTTATTTTCCATCAGATTGAGAATTTGAATGGCCGAGATTGATACTCATTTTGCGCGTTAAGAACTTTTTTGTTTAATTTGATCCAAATTCAATGAGAGAGAGAGAGAGAGAGAAACAAGAAGTAGTTTAAGACGTTATATCTTTGGCTTTAATTGTCCCTAATTGAAGAGACTTTTTGGATATCAAAAGGCTCATTTTATCTCTATCAATAGTATGCAATTAATTACTCATTTTCTCTATACGGCTTTATGCCTATACGTATTTGGAAAGCTAACATAAAAACGTAATTTACCTGGAGTAGATAGATTTGTAATATTTTTTTGTCTATATCTCTCCTGTCACGTGTAGACCGTTGACACGTTTGCATTGGAGATAGTCGTAATAAAAATTACATTTCTATTTATTCTTGATAGGTAGATAGACAAACGTTGCCAAATATACCTTCACTTTTCCAGTCTTTACCTCTCCGAGGCATAACTAGGGACTTCACTAGATCCCCCACCATTCAAATTTAAAAAGTGTTTATACTTTATGTGTTAAAAAATATGTAAATAATTACGGAGTATGAAAACTCTTTGGGTCAGTTTGGTAATAGTCGTAACGGGTGAAATTACGGAAGTGACTGAAATTGCAAAAACTACAAAAAATGAGAATGTTTGTATTATTCTGACGAAAGTGACTGATTGAATTGTAATTATCATAAAGGGTGTGAATTAAATAAAAAGTTGTTAAAGAGAGTGGTGTACAATGCTATGTATTATATTTGTTGAAGGCAGAGGCTTAATTCAATACGTACTACTAGAGTATCTAACAACATTATATTTGTAATGAATGAGGATTGATACCTTGATTTTTGTCAATATATTTTATCATAAAAAATGTACATTATGCTTATAAAGTGATATCTAACTTTTGAGGTGACTTGAATAACCCTACTCCTTTAGAGTTTAGGCCTTGTTTGGTTCAAAGGAGTGGAGGGAAGGAGAGAGTCAAGGAGGGAAGGGAAGGGAAGGGGAGGAAGAATTTTGATAAAAATTTGTGTTTGGTTGGAGGAAATGGGAGGAAAGGTTTAATGAAAATATTTTTGCAATTTACTTTTATTTTATAGCTTACTTAAAAAAATAGATACATGTCTAACTATTGTGAATATTACTCCTATGGTCATGAGTCATAATTTTTTTATTTGATTTTTTACTTTTTTAATTTTATAATTTTTCATTTTTCAGTTTGGAATTTTTAATATTTTATTTTTATTTTTATTTTTTTTTATTTTAAAATTTTTAATTTATAATTTTTTAATTTTTAAAATTTTTATTTTTATAATTTTTAAAAGTTTTAATCTTTAAATTTTTAATTTTTTTAATTTTTTAACTTTTCAAAACTTTTAGTTTTTTACCTTTTTATATTATAACGTTTTGTTCATTCATGTAGGAGATGGATAGTTTGTAGTTATCGACACGTTTCCTCCGAAATACCCCGATTTGGGAGGTTTAGAATGAGAGGAAGTGAAGGATTTTGAAAGTCTTTCACTTTCCTCCCCTTCCCCCCTATTTCCTTGAACAAAATACACACAAATACCTCACTTTCCTGTCCTATCCTCCGAAACCTTCCAACCAAACGGGGCCTAAAACTTCCGTTACTTCATTTTTTGAGCTTTTCCATTACTTCATCTATGAAGAGAAGGAAGAGTTATTATAAAAAATCTGGCCACTCCACCAATGGTCTAACAGAAATAATATGCTTATGGATAGAAAAAATGACTTTAATGAAGAACCCACATTAAAAAGAAAGATTATATTCTTTGAAGAAGACAAGGAATGGGCAACGTAAGCATCAATTTGTCAACCAATGCAAGAGAGGAGAATCCAAAAGGCAATAAATATCCTAACTAATGTTTATCTGTGTTGTGTAGAATTAGATTCTGATTCCCGGGAAGCAAGTGGCTCTAAGCAGGCCGATGCTGACCCAGGACATAAAATACCGGACCACGTTCTGGTTGATTCCCGGGCTCCAGCCCACGTAACCCATACCTCTGATTAGAAAGTTACAAACGTCCACGCTTTGCCGTTCAATCAGAATTGGAACCGAAACCTGGATCGTATAGTACCATTGGTTCGGAATCGGAGGTTCACTAGTCCGGTTCGGTTTTCGAAAATGTGGGACCGGAACCGGCGATTCCAGTTCCGAACCGCACAGTTCAGATTCCGAACCGTTTTTATTTAAATAAATAAATAATCATCATAACGATAATAATAATAGTAGTACTTATATATTGTACTAACAATAAAAATAATATATAGTGAGTATTAGTTAGTAATTTTTACTTTTTAGTCATTACTAGTTATAATACTTTAATATTACAAATTATAGCTATAAGAATACATAAAATTACTAATTTCTAAATTTGTACAAGCTAATTTATACTCCCTCCGTAGCACTCATATCTTCTCACTTTCCTTTTTTAGCTGTAACATTCATATCTTCTCATTTCTAAATCTTCCCATCATACCCTCAATAATTTTAAAAATAATACACTATTACAACTACTTTTTTGGATTTATCCTTCATTCCAGCACACTATTTCATTATCTTCCCATCATATCATCAATAATTTTGATGGAGTATATACTCTTAGGAAGAAGTGAGAGCTAGAGAGAGAAGTGATATGTATTAATGATTTTTGTGAACCTTTTACATGGCTCTCAAGGGGAGTATTTATAGGGAAAAGCGGACTGGGCTCCCAAGTCTTGGGTTTGGGAGGCCCGTTTACAATGGGGTCTCTATTGGGCCGAATACAAAGTGTGTAAATTGGTGAAGTATGAAATTCGGCTCTGTGTGCTCTTTGTGGCCGACAGAGGTCTGGCTGACGGAGCCATGGCCGACGGAGACGCGGCTGAGGGAGGCACCCCGATTCTTCTGGCCTCCGAACCGTATTTTGAGTTGATGTCTATCCGGCCGATGGAGGGCCATCTGGCTGAGGGAGGCACGGCCGAGGGAGGCACGGTTGAGGGGGGACAAGTCTTCTCCTTGACTTCCGGAGCATATTCTGGATTGACCTTTTTTTGGCCGATGCGGTGCCATCTGGCCGATGGAGGGCCTACTGGGTGATAGTTGTGCTCCTCTTAGTCTTCTGAGTATGTGGGTCATGTGGTCTGGACCCATAAACTCCATCAAATTTATATCTCCTTTCACTATTCTTAATTTCACCTACTTTTCAAATAGGAAGATATATCTGTTACGGAGGTAGTAACTATTTAGGTATTTATTAAAAAGCTATTTAGTTATTAAGTATCTAATTATTATACTTAGTTATAGAAATAATAACTATAAATTGTACTAATATTTTATTGGGAACTCTTTCTATTGAGGTTTATTCCTCCAAGTCCAAAGGCCCAACTCGTTCTTTTGGCTGTCGTTGGAATGTTAAGGTCGATATGAAGAGGATCTAAATGATGATCAACAGGAAGATACAATTAACTAACTGTATTGAGGTGAATAAGCTGATTACACAGGAATGGCTGAACGGGGTCTCCGAATCAGTCAATGCTAATACAAGAGCTAAGGAGAAGTATATTCCTTGTGAATGCAAATTTGCTAACCCTTTAATTTACAATGAAATAAATGCTGATATGTATACTATAAATGAGTGGTTGAGGAGGGTGACGTGGCTGACTCTGAGTGGATGATCGCCTCACCATGAAATCCTCCATATATCTCTTGCACTAAATGTGCTTCCGATCAACTGTTAGATTTTTCGCCAACTTGCTTGAGCCGGTCCATTGTGGCCAACCTTCAGTCGGGGGAGTATGGTCCAAGTGTGACATACGACCCGTTCGGCAATGGTCGTACGGCATGGGCCATACCGCCGTGCCCGAATTGGAATACCCACTGGAATGTTTATATGGATCCTCGCTTCTTAAAGATATTTTGGGTCTGTATCCGGGTCGGGCCCTAATATCCCAACACTTTCATTTAAACAATCTCATTACTTATTACCTACTCCATTTTTTTAAAAAAAAAATTAAATAAATTTTAGGGGTTTTGACCTCAATATTACTAAAAAGTAGATAAATGACAAAAATGTGATCTCTTTTAAAAAATTGTAGAGATGTGACTAATAATCTTTAAGCTTACTAATTTAACCCTAAATTGCAGTGACATCCGTTGTAGTGACATCCAACACAATGACACCCGCTGCAATGATCATCGGCCACCGCCGGCGGCCACTGCGTCAAACACAATGACATATCTGTAGTGACACATCTACAATGACATATCCATATAGACACCTCTAAAGTTACTCCTGCAACATTTACTGAGTCCTATAACCACCGCCAGCCACCTCCCCCGCTGCCGACCACCGTTGCGGTTGCTGCCACCCAACACTGACGTCGACCAGAACCGCCACCCCTGTCATTTGACTCCACCCGTAACCCAAGCGCCCCCACCCCGCCATCCCATTATAGTCGTCCACCACCGCCCCCTATCCCATCACCACCCCACAAATCTAGCGACTCCACCATTACCCTTGACCTCTCCGACTGTCCCTACCCCTTAAGCACCAGCTCCACCGCCCCCTCCCCTGCTCCATCCCCTGTCCTGAAACCTACCCATACCACAACCGCACCTCCACATAACTGTCGTCGCGCTCTGCCAGTCACACTGACGCCGGATCCCAGTCGTCGTCCACCAAATCCATCAAGGACGGCAAATCTCACACCAATGACGCTCCATCGTAGAAGATAGAACCAGCGGAGGCATTGTAACCGAGCACGACACCCAGATTTGTTGTCACGCCCCAGACCTAGTCGGACACGTCAACAACCCACCGTACAGTACGAATAGTCAACCGCAGTCCAACTCATCCATACTATACAAGGCGTCATGAATATCATTCACACATAGTACATCCATAAACAAACATAATGTAAAACATTCATTTAAAACAGCGGAAGCATTAATACAATTGTTCAGGCCACACTTGGCATAACTAGGCATACAAGCCCCCAAAGTAATTATTCAAAAATAATATCCATGAGCATTAACGTAATTGTTTTTAAAACAGACGGAAGAAGCACGAACCACGTCTTCTCCCCCTTGATCCTCCCGAAGCCACGGGCGATGGTAGCAACCTTCAAGTTCTACCTGAAACTGTGAGGTGGCTCCCCCGTGAAGGGGAGGTCAGTACTTGGAAATATTTGACAAGTACAATAGCAACTATACTAAGTATAATCAACGTTTTAATTTCCCAGACCCTCAACTTAGGGTACTATTATATTATAGGTCATAACCCTCGGTTACCCCTTTTTCTTTTAACTGTACTTACTTTATATAAAGTCAAGTAGTCGGCCCGTAGGCCCATATGCATTTAGGATTCATCGTTTCCATTCCCCCGTGACCGCAAGTCACGATAGCCCCGTGGGGTCCCATCGAGCCCCAATTGTATAGCATGGGCTCGACCCAACTACATCTCTATACAATCCTCTAACTCAATATATCATATCAAAATTTGTATGGCAAGGGCTCGGCCCAACTACAATTCCATACCAACCATAACTTCGTGGCAAGGGCTCGGCCCTACTACGTCTCCACGGAGGTCACATATACATGGCAAGGGCTCGGCCCAACTACGTTTCCATGCTAATCATATGACATGGCATGGGCTCGGCCCAACTGCATTTCCATGTCATCCTAGAGTCCAACTATAATTATTTTCATAATTACATTCTCAAGCAAATCCTATGCCTAGAATAAATTTCCTTGGGTAGCCTTTGGCCTACCCCTATCACACCTTAGTGTTCATATAATTCAACCTTAAAGTATCTCTTAAGACTACTTAAGGCATACTCATTTACAATCCTATCTCTTAGGATTAATTCCATCGTTCATTTATATTAATCTCCCGACTAGTATTCCAACACTAGTCGGATAATCTTAGAACCGCCAAGTTCTTAAGTCATAGCCAATTTATTCATCTCGATTGATTTTCCAATCCAAAATATAATCTAATCCAAATATCAAAACTATCACTTTTAACCATTCATGAATTTCATACATGAATTAAAAGTATGTTTGATCACAATGTCATCATAGTAATTTCATTAACATGCCGTTCCATTCATTTCACATAATCATACACAATTATTCTAAATTTGTATATCATGCTTCACTCACTCGTATCAATATTATTTTCATTTAGGCATTATTAATCATTAATAATCCATGAAAATCCCATCTAATTACTTTAAGCAATCTTATGAAATTAACCCACTAATTATAAGCAATATAGTCAGCCATCCTCACCTTATGATGTGCTCAACTAGCTGCCTTAGCGAAACCCCCTCGATCCGTCCTCGTTCTAGGCCGTTCAAGAGTGGAAAATCTGGGAATAGAGCGAAAGCCGGGCGGCTTTTGTGAAAGCCGGGCGACGTTCGTCCTCCTGCAGCACGAACAGCCTCCTATATGTGGCGGTTTCCGGCGATTTCGACTCCTATCGATCCACCAACTCTTCTAAGTTAAATATCACCACTACATAACAATATTCTACACTTTTAAACGTGTAGAGCATCATGTTTAACCCACCAAATGATTCCTTAATAAATCATTCATGATAAAACTAGTTACAAGAGTTTTCTTGTAGAGTTCTTACCTTGAACTCAACTCCTTTTTGTTAGATCTTTTCCCCTTGCTTCCCTGAGCTTGAACTTTGATAGA